CCTGGAAAACTATTTTATTCAACAAAACAATTATTTAAAGAAATGCTTTGATGTCCATAAATTAGAAATAAATTAAAATCTACTGTTGATAGATGCTTGCTTTTGCAATTCGAAGACAAAATTATGTAGGTTTTTTTGGTCTGCTGGGTGTAGATTCTATCAAGAAGTGCCTGCAGAATTTGGTACAAATATTACCTAGTTTGTCATCTGCCCAAAAAGTAAGAAATTTTGCCTGGATCATTTATAAAACCCCCGGGCCTCAAACAGTACTTAACCTGTATTTGTTGAATTAAATGCAAATAACTCTGGAAGAAAAAAAATTAAGCCAAAAACATTGTGCAAAACCTTCCTAATCTATTCCTTTCAACAGAGGAAGAAACTGAGATTCGGAGAGGCAAAGTTAACACTGAGGACCCCAGAGATGGTTAATAGCAGAGATCCAGGAATCAGCTATTTAACTGAAATCTGATTAATCTGGGGGTTCATAACGTATTCCAGAATGTTGAAGCAAGACTCCTTTTTTCACACCTATTTGGTGTATACATAACTTTGTTTAATACGGTTGTAATACGAAGTTAAGAACTGACTCCTCTTTTTGAACCATAAATAGTTTATGTTGTAAAGGGGGGGAGCTGACATTGTATACAGTCCACCACCATGTCAGTGAGAATTGTGCTGACTGAAGTAGAACTGAAGGAAGGTTTCCTGGAGGAAATACAGTTTAGGTGAGGAAAGGGAACTGAAGACGGAGGAAATGGAGTCAGCATCGCGCAAGGAATAGATGTGACACGTGACTGTTGTTTAAAGTGTCATGTCATAGAGAACATTAGGCAGTCAAGTAGTTTCATTTAGCTAAATCATAGTGTTGCCAAATGACAATGGATATGGTGAGCCAAAATAAAGGGCTTTTTAAAAACAGATACTATTTTTCAGTACATCAAAATATACTGCCCTAGGGACGCCCGGGTGGCTCAGCGGTTGAGTATCTGTGTTTGGCTCAAGGCATGACCCCGGGGTCCTGGGATCGAATCCCCACATCAGGCTCCCTGCATGGGGCCTGCTTCTCCCTCTGCCTGTGTCTCTGCCTCTCTCTTGGTGTTTCTGACAAATAAACAAACAAACAAATAAATAAATAAATAAAATCTTTAAAAAATATAAACTACCTTAAAGTATATTACTACTGACATCACGCCTCTCACTGTTTGCTATCCAACATGATATCAGATGTCACAAGTGAGCAAGCTTAAAAAAGAATACCTGAAAGCAATCTAAAAAGTGTCTACGCTTTTAAAATGCTTTATATCACTATTTTATACATTTGAAAAATGAAAGCATTTTTGCTTTCCAAAGTGACTTGGTGTTTTAGTGTCAACATTGAAATATTTCATGGCTCAGTGGCGCTGCGTAAAGAGCTCTGAACCCCTGCACTTCAATTCCGTGAGTTAATGGCTATAAGAAAGAAGCCTGGCTTAAAATAAGCCTTCAACTGGTAAATATTAATTTTACCAGTAGGGCTGTTACTATTTTGTAATGAGAGCAATGGAAGCAAAGTAGTTAGAACATTTTAGAAAACATTAATTACTACTCATAAATAAACTTATTATATGTTATACAGAGATACCTTTATAGTTGGTAAGATCATTATTCACATTTGAGTAGACCTGAGGAGATCGTTTTCTCAACCATTTCTGTTTTTCATGTATTTCTGTGTATGCTTTTGCTTTCCTGCCAAAATTTTCATTCTTTATTTCTGTCCTGTTTCTAGTTTTCTAGTTTCCAACTTTTTGGTAATTAATTTTTTTTTCTGTAATTAGTAACAGTAACCAAGCTCAGTGTCTTGCTGCACTGAGTTGTCAGATTCTATTTTGGTCCCCATTTTTCTGATTATAATTTCTATTTTCAAGACACATGCTTAAAAAAAAAGTTTCCTTTAGGCTGAAGCTTGAGAGACATGATCTTGGCACAACTATTTCTTCAAAATAAAAAAGTCCACCACACATTTTTAAGTTAAAATGGAATTTTACTGACTTTATCCCTATAGTGGGGATTGAGAGACACTTGATTTCAGTATTTTTGGCAACCAAATAGTTAATGAATTACCAATACAGAAAATTAGTATGGCTTTTACAGTATGGATTTTTAGGATTGTTGATGAATTACACCATCAAAATAACTTCAAAAACACAAACTTCAACATGTGATGTCCTTGTTGCCATACTTAAATTAAGAGTTGACATCACCAATGGACATAGCTTTGGAGAAGCCACAGGGAGAATTAGTGCAACATTCCCATGATTCCTGAGGGGAAATTTTTAAAATTAATCCTCTGTTGGAGTGAAAAAAGACTATCAAATGTGTAATTTGATTGGACCATCTCCCTTCCTGCTTGCGCGACCTTACTAGGGTACCTCAGCGTGCTGAATGACAGTGTCTAAAGCTATGAGGCACAGTAACACAATGGCAAGACAATCCTAGGAACAAAGCATGACTAAGAGTATATTAAGTTACATGAAGCCCTTATAAAGAGCTTAGTTTGTGCCAGGCACTATTCTAAATGTTTTATGTTGCACCGAAGAAGAAAGGGAAGTTCGAGATAAAGTAACCACCAGCAAGGCACAGAGAAGTGGGGAAACACACACACACACACACACACACACACACACACACACAACGGGAAATGGGGTCTCCGAGGAAAGGAATGAAGACCGAAGTAAATGCAGCAAGAGAAGGAGATGGTAGTCAAGGGTGGTGGAGCACACTTGATTAGGAAGACTGTAAAAAGTCCATTTGAAAAGAATTCATTAATTTGTAACTTCTATCTGTACATTCATCACAGTGAGGTAGTTCAAAATTACATAAAGTACATGCCAGCATACGTCATCTGTCTGTCTCTACTGTTTTCATCATTGCTGCACTTGCTCTTAGTTTCTGCTCCCCTGAACTGAGCTGCAGACTTGTACGGTGCAACCTTAAGCCTTCTGCTCCTTTGGTATTCATTTATCAATCATTCAATCCTTTCAACACAGTCGTTGGGAGAGCCAGTGTGCTGTAAGGGCTAAGACCTTGCACTTGGGCGTCAGACTGCCTGTGATGAAATCTCGGCTTTGCCACTAGTGAAAGTGAGAAAATCTCTGCCCTCTCTGTGCCTCAGTTTCCTCACACGGAAAACGAGGACAATTAATTAACGACACCTAGTGCATAAGGTCGTCGTAAGGATGAAATGAGGTACCACGTGTAACCTGCTCAGAACACTGACTGATATAAGGGCCATGGCTGGGTCAACAGGTAAGAAATCCACTGCAGTGCCTGCTTCCATGGAGCTTGTAGCCTACCAGGGAAACTTCCTCATGGCACTTTGTTCAGAACTCAACTAGGACACTCAAAACTATCCGGTGAATAAAAGCTCATTGGCCCTACAATGGTAAGTAACAGAGTACATGCATGCTTTTAAACTGGAGAAAAAAATTTAAAAATAAAGGAACTATTTTACTATAAATTTTTAAAAGTAAGAAAAACAAGGTTCTTCTGATGGCAGGTATGGACATTTATTTATTCAAAAGGTACCGTCGTCTTCTAGTAAACTGCAGTAGGGAGGCTTAGCTGTAGCAGCATATAAGCCCCTCGTGGGCTGTCCTATAAGGAGGAACCAATTCCTTCCATAACTCCCATGGGTCTCATTTCCTAACGTTTAAAAGGACTGAACTAAGGTGATCTTATCTGGAAGGGTGGAGGTCTCAAAATAGGTTTTTAAGAATCATCAAAAGCATCAGAATACAAGGATGCACAAAATTAAAGGACTGAATTCATGCTTACAGGGTATGAACCTACAGTTGAAGAAAATGAGTACCCTTAAGTCTGGCGTGGTGAAGATTTGGTTCCTGGACTATCAAGGTAGTCCCCCAGCATATGTGTTATTTATTTTCAAAATGGTCTGTAACAATGCATATCCTTAAACCGTAAGGAGTAAAATAACAAATATCATGTTCCTTGTAAGTGTTCTGTATCCTGTATCAAAGGCAGATCCAAATATTGGAACTCAGTAATAGGGAAAACTAATGCCCAATTAAAAAGATAATATGCATTTTATCTACATGCATTACAAAGTCTGAAAAAGAAAAAAAAAGCCTCTAAATTTAAAGGAAAAAATTAAGAAAAACAGTAAGTGCTCTTTATTTTTTTTTAAATTTTTTTTAGTTTATTTATGATAGTCACAGAGAGAGAGAGAGAGGCAGAGACACAGGCAGAGGGAGAAGCAGGCTCCATGTACCAGGAGCCTGATGTGGGATTCGATCCCGGGTCTCCAGGATCGCGCCCTGGGCCAAAGGCAGGCGCTAAACCACTGCGCCACCCAGGGATCCCAGTAAGTGCTCTTTAAAATGAGATGAGAGCTCCCATTATAAAGGCATGGATGCGTTTTTTTTTTTAATGTGATCGATTTTTTTAAATGATGTCCAGTACTAATCCTATGTATGTTTTAAGTAACAAAGGGCTAAATGTTTCCTTGAAACAATGAGTAATTTCAAAGCTGAAAAGACAACATAGGAAAAGAGATATTTTTAAGTGGAACTGAAGGTTTCATAGAGCACACTGGACAGTAGGTTAGGGGATGGAGGTTCGTAAGACATTAGCCACAGGGACAGCATGCCAAGCAAAGCTTTTATTTATTTTTAAAAGTTAACGAAACGAGCCTGCATAGTTAAAATGTAGACTAGTTAAAAGACTCAGACTGTGAATGATGCTACTTCAGCTGTTGCTGTGTATAATGAGGAAGGGACCCTGAAATATTTTTGAACGAATGGCTCCAAAAGAAAATAAAAACAAAATAAACATTTCAGTAAAATAAACATCTAACAAAGATGCAAAAAGTCTTCTGGAGGTTCAAGTTTCCATTCTCGATTATTGTGTTGGGTATAATAAAGCCAATAATAATAATAGCCCTTTTAAGAATATACAAACCACATCTATTTTTCGCCATCAGTATTCTGTGAAGTTAACCATACCTGTGGATAGCTGTCAGTCCTCGGCAAAACCGATATGTCATAGGTGGCAGCAAAATGGCTTTTAGCTTGTTGTATTTGGCCATAGCGTTCTCTTTTTCTCCACTTGGCCCTTCGATTTTGAAACCAAACCTAATTTTTTTAAAAAGGAGAATTTTAGCTGAGGAATATTTGAAAATGCAATGGTCATGTTAAAAGACACAGATCAGAAAGGGTCAACCAGGCCAATAACATCACTAAGAAAGAAATTTAGGTCAGAAAAGTATCCACGAGTTTTACTTTCTATTTTACCCTGGTAAGTGGCATGTCCATGAGGTACTATAAATTAATAGAAAGGGACGGAATACTTCAAAAATTATTTAATGTGTCTCAGTATCTGGGTTTTTCTTTTCTTTCATTTTGGAAAATAAAAAGGAATTAGGTTACATGACTTTGAAGACTCCTTATGTCTCCAAATTATCATAGATAGCCCTCCTCTCAGAGAATGCTGCAAATCTGGAAGACATTCATAACTTTTTAGTTTGGGGTTATGCACATAACATTAACCCAGCCAAACTATAACCAAATTAATATCTGGGTCTGTCAAAACAATTATCTTTAAAACATGTCACAGAGTGAAGACTCTGCTGGGTTGTACCCATACTTAGATAATCTTAGAAAAATTTAAACGCAATGATTACATCCAAAACATATGGCACTGGCAGAAATATCGTGATTATTTAGAAACTGAAAATATTAAGATCACATATCATATTGAGCATGATAAAGACTATAGGTAAAATGGAACCATCTTAAAACTCTGGTTTTAAAATATACAAATGTCCTTATTACACAAATTACACCACTTATAATATTTATCCTCCCTTATAGAAAATGCTCAGAAACCTCCAAATCATTTCTCCAATTCAAGCAACTTACAGGTAATATAAATAATAAAAGAAATGAGGAAGATATAACCAAGTGTCAAGAAAGCCTATGGGCTACTACAATCTCTACAGGGTCACTAAGCTGTCATCCAAATTTCTCTAATTCTATATTAATAATATTTGCATAACAACCATCTTCCTCAGAGAGGTAAATAATTACTAATACACACCTGAATTAGCTCTCCAGAATCTTCACTTTAATATTTTAATGAATTGAAGGGAGACATAATACATTACATTCACTATAAATCATTTGTTATTTTTGAGTAGACATTTCACAAGTAGCTGTCAGGAAGCTCTTCGAGTATTTACAAAACTATGTTCAGGGCACAAAATACTTACAAAAGAAGCTAGAAATTACATACAAAAGTGCAGACTGCTAAAACTGCTAAAATTTACTCGAACTTTTTCTTTTTTTTCATATTCAGTTGTAATCTTCTATACCTTTACCATCACACTTATGGATCCATATTGAGCCTCAGTTCAGTGCGCAAGCATGGACTGCAAATGTAAGGTTGCGCTTTAAAGGGTTTCCAGCAATTAAAATAAGGCGAGAGCTACTTGTTCAGTATGATTTCTTAGAACTCTGTTGGTAAAGGTGTATTACACAGGATGCCCAGGGCTCAAACCAACATTGACAACAACACAAAACCTATTTTCTTCCCGTCTTCTCAGGCACTAGGAGCATAGTAAGGGAATTTAATAGTGAGCTGTTGTTTTAATTTTTTTTCATTAAGAAAAAAAGATCGTTAGGTGTGAATTACCACTCTGATGTGAAAGCAGGAAAGAGAAAACCTGAGTCAATTAGGTTCGGGCTGGTTCTCTGGGCATGTTTTTAGACAAAAGTTATTCAGCGGTTGATGAAATTTTAAGGGGGAAAATATCCATTGTGCACAGCTGATCATCCCGTATGTAAACATATTTTTCTATGGCTACAAGTATAACTAATTAAAATATATGAACACAAGGCAAACACACACACACACACACACACACACACACACACTCTCGCGGAGACTGGTGTTAACACCTGACAATTCTAAGATTCTTCATTAGCATCAACGTTCTGTATATTTACTTCCTGAACTGAGATAAAGTAACTATTTGCCTCCATAAGCTAAGGAAAAATCCTGCTGCTTGGTATTCCTGCATCACCAAATGTCGTCTTTAATCATGTAAAGGCCTTACAATAGTTTAAGCTTCAGAAGTAGTACTACTACTTCAGAACAAAATTTTTCACTGTCTTATTCATTTCCCTATGATACTGCATGGGAACTGCAAAATTCAATATTCTGATATTTAGCACGGTGAAAACACACAAAGAAACGGGCCATTCCCTGAAATTGTTGTTACTAGAGAACTGATAAATATAGTTTGAGAATACCAACTCTAGTAAAAATAAAATATGCCTCAGAGGTAGACTTTTAACCTCATATAACTCTTTTTTTCAAATAATTTTAATAGTATATTGTATCATCCAATTTGATAACCTGAATGCAACTTATAAATATAATTGAGTATATATCTGAAAATTACTTCAAGATCATTATCCCTATTGCCTCTACAAAAAAAAAAAAAAGACAAAAGCTATCTACATTTAAAAATTAAAATGGAATGGCAAGGCAACTATTAGAGCTAGAAAGGTTGTAGGTGAGGTACCTAATCTTTCCTCATGCATAGTGAAAATCAGTCATGGCATACACCACAATTGGGACATTTGTGAGATTGGTTCATTTTTGTTTGTTTTATTATGACCCCAACCTCAATAAAATTATAGATCTATGGGCCATTACACAAATGGCTTACCAATACTTGCTATATAACCTAAAAAGAACCTTAATAGCTAATAAAATCAAAATAAAATACATGTGTTAGTAAATACTTGCTATATAACCTAAAAAGAACCTTAATAGCTGATAAAATAAAAATAAAATAAAATACATGTTAGTAAGGAGATAGCTAGGTTTCTGCTGCCTGTCCTTTGAAAATAACTTTTTTTTAAAAATTAGAGATATTTAGGGATCCCTGGGTGGCGCAGCGGTTTAGCGCCTGCCTTTGGCCCAGGGCTCGATCCTGGAGACCCGGGATCAAATCCCATATCGGGCTCCCGGTACATGGAGCCTGCTTCTCCCTCTGCCTGTGTCTCTGTCTCTCTGTGACTATCATAAATAAATAAAAAAAAAAAATTAGAGATATTTATGCTATCCTGTTTCTTTAAAAAACGATCGCCAATTTATATGCCTACCTAATAAGTCAAGTGTTCTTTTATGTTTCTTCTGTGTGAAGGATTAAATCCTTTGCAAGGAAGAAGAACTTTTAGTAGACCTCCATGCATATAGAATCAGTTCCTCCTTTTGTGGCAAAACGCAACCACTGAATGATCCCAACAGTATCCCCCCCCACCTCCCCCAACCCCCCTCCACCCAAGGCCCCCCTTGGCTCCTACCTGGACCCTGGCCTCCGTGAGCTCTGTCCTCAGAGCAAGCTGTTCTCTGACATAGACATCCGGGTAGTGGGTTTTCTGAAAAACCTTCTCCAGTTCCTCCAGCTGAAGGCTGGTGAAGGTGGTTCGGTGTCTCCGCTTCTTACTGCTGGACACGTTGCTGTCACATTTATCCCCAAGTTCATCCAGGTCTCCCTTTTCTGGCATCCCTTTCCCGGGCGACATGCGGAGGCTGTTGCAGTTGTCCAGGGCCCTGTTCAGCTCCGTGTGGAGGGGCTGGCCTTCCACTTTCGTGATGCCATAGTTCACTGTACCCAGAGGGGGAAACAACACTTCTCAGGACTGTGAACCGAGCCGGTGAGGCACCTAAGCCCAACTACTGCAGGGCCCGAGCATCAGGAAAGCGGGCTGTTAACGACTCCCTGTGCCACTATTCATTCAATCATCGCGTTGTGTACCATTATTAATCCACTTTGGGCAGGTTTGAAGCCATTTAAAAATGTGTACGTGGAACTCCTATAAACGTGCCACGTCTTACGGGTTCTACCTTACGGGGCTGATGCAGAGCTTAGAAGTGGAACTTATCAGCAAATAAGGTGATCGAATTAAAAGATGCTCTAGATTTAAGAAAAAAATAAGTGAGCACAATTTTTGAAAAGGGAACCACATTTAACGTAAGCGATGGGTACGTATGTACTCACAGCAGGCAAAATCGGGCTAATTAGGTGGCCCCGGGAAAGGTGATTTCAATTTTAAATGATATCTGTAAACCCAAATCCAAACTCTTCCCCAAAGTTTTTTTCCTGCTCCACACGAAACGTATGGACTACAGATTTAAGATACGGTTTTGTTTCTATAATATTTTGAATATTTTGAGTGTTTATTCATGGCTGCTTTTTAATCTTTTTTTTTTTCAAAAAAGTGACCTACTAAATTAAAAAATGACTGTCATATCGGTTTCTGGAAGTGCTTCTTCTAGAACAGAATAAGATTTAAGTAAACTTCATTAGCGTAAAAACTCATTTGCAGCTCTTTCGAAATAGGTCGTATTTATCTTTAGCTCACGGAACATGTTCTAAGACAGAAAGCCTTATTCTTCCCTAAAGCAGAGAAATTAAAACATCTATGAAAAGATCGCAAAAGATGTCATCTTCCATTCTGTTTAGGGTTGTTTTACTTTCAGTGATTTCCTCCAGATTTGATTGCATGCTTGCAGTATGACATAAAACAAAAACGTATCCTATGGTGCCACACACACACACACACACACACACACACACACAAATGCAGTGGATGCACATCATGAAATTGGAAAGAGTTTTTAAAAAGGTAAAGCAAAGCGAGCCAGAACAATAATTTCCAACGAACTGCCACACTTTCTTTCCTTTTGATCTGTTCTTAAATTCTCATAACCTATTTTAGCAACTGCTCTAATGAGTATGCAAATGTTTTGAGCTTTAAGACCTATAATAACTTAAATGCTTAATATCTTGTAAGCTAAAGAGGTGAAGTGAAACCAGATATAAAAGAAGAGCCAGGACTGATTAACAATAGGGTTTTGTCTTGGGCAGAGTTAAATGGGGGAACTTCGGTAATTAGGGATGGGGGAGGGAAAGCAGTGGTGAGGCTAAGGGCATCTCAGGAGAAAGACAGGAGCTTTCCTAAATTTAGCCAACTGCTGCCTCCGTTCATCTTACTTACTATTTTCCTATTAAAACTCATCCGAAAAGTGTGATGTTCCTTCCCAAGTTGTTAAGGTATAATAATAATAATTCTAAAAAAGATCACCTATTTCTCTTCCTGTTTTGGATTCCCGACAATTTAAAATAGGATATAGTCCTACGGAGAGCAGTTCACACAGGACAGCAGAGAATCGCTTTTTGTTTTTAAATCCCGCCCATTCAAATAACTTCACGTATATACATATAAGAATGCCAGAAATAAGGACCCTGAAGTCTCAAATACCACCAGAAAAGCCAAAAGAGCTAGCATATTAAAAATAAAAAATTCATCGCATGTGTCTTTCGAAATAAACGACCGAAACGATTTAGCTGATTTTTCTCTCGTTCCCGTCTATGTTCTGGGTTCAACCTTGCGAGTCAAAAGTAATTTGCAACGTTGAATAAGTCAAATACACGAGATGGGGTTCTTTTTTTTTTTTTTTTTTAAGTCACTGTGTACAAAGTACTTGGAAAATGCGATCCTAGGAGCCAGTACCTTGCCAGATTTTGACCCTCTGCACTAAAACAGGGGGCGGGAGGCTTGTTGTAAATATTTCACACTTAATTCGTTTGTTATTTTAAAGCAACCCGCTCCTTACAGCTTAACTGTGCAATATATACAATGATAAGGAAAAGTCCTCTTGGAATTGTAAACTTGCTCTAGCTGTCGCGATCTGGAAGAAAAAAAAATAGGTTTGTCTTGGGTTACAAGATAGAAGAGATAGATGGCTTGTTTTGATAACACTCTGACTTTGAGATACTTGGCCGCTCAAAGTTGAAGGTTTCACCCAGAAGCCTTCGGAGAGGGGGTTCCCGTGCGGTCAGAAACACAGAAAAAAAAAAAAAAGATAAAACAGGATTCGGGATTTGAGTGCTTCCACGGGAGATTCTTAACCCGAAGCTCTTGAGAAGGATTTGGCATTTAGGGAAAAAAAAAAAAATTGGGTGTTGCGCTGCAAACCCAAGCAACCAGCAATCCCAGCTGCACACGAGCTGCTCTGAGAACCTTGCAGCTTCCCAAAGAGAGACTCCCGCTACGTCCTGGACAGCTTTTTTTTTTTTTTTTTACAAAGAGGTTTTTTGGGTTTTGTTTTGTTTTTTTTGGGGGGGGTTTGTTTGTTTGTCTCCACCGGGAGGAGCTCCGACTTTCGGAGCCGTGACAGCGGGGACGCGGGCTAGCGGGCTGCGGCGACGGCGGCGGGGCCGGGGCGAGGGGTGCGCGCCCCCAGGCTCGGCCCGCGCAGCCCCGGGACCAGGGCGCCGAGCCCTTCCCGCGGCCCCCGCCCAGGCCCGGCGCGTCCCCGCACCCCGGGGCTTGCAGAGGGGAGGCGAGGGGGAGGGGAGGGGAGGGGAGGGGGGGAGGGTTGGGGAGGGAGGGCGCGCGGCCGGGCCGCCGACTCACCGCCGCCCTCCTGGCAGGGCGAGGCTCGCTCCAGGCGCACGTGATGCTCGGCGCGGGGCAGCGGCCCGAAGGCCTGCGCGCATTTGCCCGCCGCCGCTTTGCCGTAAAAGGGCTCATTGTCCAGCGTCTCCATAACGTGCTCCAGCGCGCCGCCGGCGCCCATGTAGAAGTCCCCGCTTTTACCCGGCGGGCTCTTGAGCGCGAACTTCTCGCTCAGAAACTCCATAATCCCGGCGGGGCGGTCGCGGGGCGGCAGGCCCGAGGGCGCCGGGGGGCGGGGGGGCGCGCGGGCGGGCGCGGGCGCGGCGGGCGCGGCGGGAGCGGGCGCCGCGGCGGGGGGCTGCCCGGCTCCGAGCCCTCCGCTGCGTCCCGGCTGCGGCGCGGGCATCCGAGGTCGCTTTTATATCTTGAAACTCAGCTGGGCGCTCCGGGCAACCTCCCAGCTCTAATGAATATGAAAATAGGCAGGCGACTAACTCCACCCCGGGGCCCCCCTCCGCCCCCACCCCCACCCCCGCCCCCCCACCCCCGCCTCCCCGGGCAGGGCGCGCCCGGGCCTGGCTTAGGCAGCCCCGTTCCAGGCCGGTGGCGGGAGCGCCGAGGCCGCGGCCCCCAGAAGCCTCGTCGCCGCGACAGCCCACGGGCGCCTCGGAGGAGCGGGTGAGATCGCGGAGCGCTGAAGCCTCCGCTCGGCGCGCGGCCCGCCCGGCGCCCGGTCCGCCCCCGCGCCCCCGCCCCGCCCCGCCGGCCACTCACAGCCGGAGAGATTTAGAGGCGTCTTAAGAACTTGAAAGGAAGTTATTACTCCAAAGAGCTTTTATTTCATCCGTAAATCGTTTATGTGGAAGGTCCACGTTAAGCCGGATCCCCAGAAGCCAGCTCCAGCGCAGCCCGGGACTGGGGGGCGGGGGGGGGGCTCCCGCCTCTGGCCCCGCGCCCCCGCGCCCCCCGCGCCCCCGCCGCCTGGCCCGGGCGAGCTTTCTGGAAGGCCGCGCGTGCGAAGGGTGGGAGCAAGAGGCTGAGCCAGAGGCCCTGCCGGCGTCAGGCCCCTGCCAGTCCGTTTCCTCCTCCTCCTCCTCCTCCTCCTTCTCCTCCTCCTCCTCCCGCTCCCCTCGGGCCACGGTCGTCTCGCTCCTTCCAGAGGCTTCTAGGAAAACCCGCTAGGAGCAGGGCCTCCTCCCCGGGCCCGGGGCGCAGGCCACACGGAGGCCGCTACACAAAGGGGCTTATGAAAGGCGGAGGCCTCCAGCGCCGGTTTTGCAACAAATCCTTTGCGGGGGCGGCGGGGGCGCGGGGGGCTCCCTGCGGGCAGGGCAGCGCCGCGGCCTCGGGTGTGCCCGGCCTCCGCGGCGTCTAAGGGCGCTTGCGCTCGGACCCCGGGCGCCCGGAGCAGCCATTCGCAGCGGGCTCCGGACCTGGCGGGCTTGCTGCGAAGCTGGCACGGTCTGGGGACCACGGCCGGCAGCCCCCCTCCCCCCGGGCGGACTCTGTGCCAGGGTCCCCGACGGCCTTCGCAGCGCGCCTCGGGCACGCAGGGCAGCGGCGGCTCCGAGAGCGGGGAGGCCGGGCCCGGCTCCGGCGGGCGCCCCCGGGGACCCCCCCCCAGCCTGAAGCCCCCTCGGCCGCCCCCAGATGCCCCGGGGACCCCCCCCCCGCCCGCAGCCTCGGAGGAACCGCCCCGCAGGGCAGCGCGGCGCACCTCTGGGCTGCTGGGCGGGCCGCGAACCCCGGGGCCGGGCGGGGGGAGCCCTGGCGCCCCGGGACGCCTCCCCGACGGGCTGGGGCCTCGAGCGCGCGCTCGGCTCCCGGGGAGCTGACCCCGTTCCTGCACCCACTGCGCTCCCGCAGCGCGCGCCCTGCACCTCCCAGCCCGGCGGGGCGGCGGGAGCGCGACCTGAGCCGTCCTGGGGGGCGCGGTTAGGGCACAAGGTATCCCCGGGGAACTGCGCCCCGAGGACGGAGCCAGACTCCACGGAGACGCGGGACCCGCCCTGGCACCGTCGGCTGGAGGGGGTGCGGGGGGGCACCCCGGGCGTGCGGACCCCGCTCAAGGCCGAGGAGCCCCCAAGCCTTGCAGGGCACCTCCGGGCGGGTGTCCGCGCCGCCCCTGCCGGAAAGCCGGGGGCCACTTAGCCGCCCATCCCCATCCCCGTCTCTACGCGGCCTGACGGTCTTGTGCTCTCTCCTACCCGCCCCCCTTACCTTCACAGATAGCCTGCAAGACTGACTTTCTGTAGTAAACAAGGAGAGGGGGAGAGAGATGGCCATTGAATAGGTTTTTAAACATTTCGCAGCAGCAAGAATGACGCCTCGCGGCCTCCGAGATACGCGAACAACCCCTAGCTCTGAGCTCAGTTACGAGGTACCGCGCTGTCAGCCTGTTTATAAATATGCGTCTTAAGAGCCCTAAATTTCCTGAAAAACATGCGATGTAGCTTAAATGAAAGACATATGAAGCCAGCTCCGGAGTACTTGTCCACCGCGGAAGGGCCCGCTCAGGGAGGAAAAACTACGGGGGAGCCCGGGAGCCCAGCCGCCTGGTAAACCGGCCCTGCCCCACACCCAAACCCAGTTTTGGTGGTGGTGGTGGTTGGAGGGTTGGGTGGGTGCAAGGTGTCACCAGCCACTCTTCACATCCCTGGAGCCTCCTGCAAACGCAGATCTATTTCACGGGAAGGCTGTGTGTTTGGGGACACGTAACCGCTTGTGCCCCTAACAGAGGGAACAGCTAATGGCAAACTCCCATAACGAATGCTTAATCCGCAGTTTTTGGCAAGAAGTTGGGTGTCTGGTTGCCAAAAGCTGTATTAAATAGATGTGGAGAGGCTGAGATGGAGTTCAGGGTAATGACACAGCTCCCACCGTGGGAGCTTTGATAACACGCTTAAAATAAGCCTCGTTAAAATAATACCAATTACATGATTTCTGGAAGTCGCAAGAAGAGAGACCAAATCGGATTGGAGGCTATCTCGCCTTCGGTGAGACCTACCTGGGCTTTTTCTTCCTTGATGTTTTGAGGATGACTTTCTTGGAAATTGACTGTAGCACTTGGATAAATACTTTCTACCCAAACCTGGCATAGCTCTTCCCTCCTCCGTAGGCTTTTAAAGCCTCCCCTAATCTTCCTTCCTCGTCCCAACCCTCTCCAGTTCCAACCGGTCAGCCCGGCCAGGGCCCAAGGGGTCAGGGTTCTGAGGAACCATCCGCTGGCAAGTAAGACCCAGTTTGTTAAGTCAGGGTCTAATTGAGATTTTATCTCAGCAGGTTCAGTCCGTCGTGGCCCCCAGGCTACCGCTCCCTCCCTTCTCTGCTCCATCTTCCTATTTTGTCTTTGGAGGATGCTGTTGATCTCTTTCTAGACTCTGAGCCTGGGTTCTAAACTCGAGATCCTGCTCCCCATCTTTCCCGTCGGTCAAGAAATCCACCCGGAATAAAGCTGCGGGGCCTCCTTTTCTCCTCTGCTTCCTTCAAACCTGAACCTTCTCAGGGGGCATCAGGGCTTGCGAGAGGTGCTGGAAGGGCGCTGAGAGGTGGTAGCAGAGGGGCGGGGGGGGGGCAAGTTTCTTTTAAAGCCTCGCAAAAGTTGGGACATCTTAGGATTCCAGCACCTTCAGGTCTCTGGGTGCTGTGAAGATACACACGTGTCCTCACTTGGCTTTGATGGGGATGAAGTGCCTGGTGGGTGGGGAGGGTGGGGAGGGGCGTCAGTAAGGAATGCGCCCTAGTGCCCTAGTCCCAAAAGCAAAAGGGTGGTGAGCGCCCAGTGGATTCAAGTCTCAGCCTCTTTGTGAACTTGGTTCTCTCCTCCTTCCTCTGGCACCTCACTTGCAAACGGGGGGATGGCGGGGGGTGGGGGCTGTATGGTGAAGTGACTCCTATGATGATGCTCGGATTTGAAGTTACATCTAACATTCCTGCAATCAGTCTGTGGTTGTTGCTGTTGTCGTCAGGTGCCAACTGACGACAGTTGGCAAACAGTAATTTGGGATGGGTTGTTTTTAAAATGTTCTTTACTTAACTCCCGTTAGAGCCTAGAATTAAAGTAACTGGATAAACTAAAACTGGTTGAGAAGCCCACGGAGGTGACTGACTCCCCCAGACAGGGACATGTAAATTCAGATAAGCCAAGAGATTGGCTCTCAGCCTGACATACTTTATATATATATGTATATATATAATATACATATTATACACATAGATACATATTATATATTATATAATATATGTAAAATAACTGATATAAATATTTATTAATATAATTAATATATAATTATATATACATATATAATATATAAAATAATTGATATAAATATTAATTATTAAGATATATTATATATATAATTCTTATGGTTGAAAAAGCTACATTTAATGTTCTCCTCCCCCATGAGAATATATTCTGGGAAATGAAATATATTTTGAGTTCCTACGTCAAAGCAGCCATTGAAGCCATGTGTTGGACCACTCTAGTTCCTTTCCTTCCCAGCTTCTTGAAGAAGTCACACTTCTAGAATAAGAGCGGGAATGTCAAGATAGTATTGCAAGGACTTGAGTCTCAGCACTTTCTTTTCTGTGGTGTGAGTTTGAGACACATTACTAAGTACAGCGAGGAAAAAACGCGGGCGGAATCAGATGACCTATGCCAAATGCAGAAAAGCAGGGGTCCGGAGAGGGGAGGAAAGGCTGGGTGGAGGAGGGAAAACTCTCATGAAAAAGTACTCGAATAATTGGATGTCATGTACGATGGCAAGAAGCCAGGTGGCCTCGTGCTCGTGTGCGCTCCGCTGCTGTTTCTCTTCGCTGGCTTCTCCTGCAGCCTTCCCACAGCTCCACAGACATAACAGATCCAGAAATAATGCATCGAAGCAGCTCAAGAGGTTCCCCCCAAATAAAAATACACACACACACACACACACCACAAACTCTTTAAGTGTTTCTTTTACATGCATGTCCCAATGCATCGTCATAGACTCAAGAAAACACACCTACAGGCTCATGTATGACTGTCAGGTTTTTGAGGCTTCTGTATTTCAATTTTAAAAAACAGTTACTCGAATTTTAATCCATCCTGTCAGTCTGTCAAGTGTCCTGTTACAAAGCTCTCATCAACGATAGATTAAATTTACCTGCAATTTCACTAGTAATACTAAATATCATGGTCGTTCAGAAACTCGCATGATTCCTCAAAGAGCTATGCTTTCCTTTGAATTTCAACTTGTTTCAGAGTTT